TAAGTGTGTGTAAGTGTGTGTAAAGGATAAGGGCTAGTTTACTATGCAATATTGTCAATCAAACTTGTTAATCATTTTATTGAGTAAATAACAATTTTAAAAAGTTACCACATTATGGTAAAAAACGTACAAAAACAACATAAATTAATTTGTCACAATGTTCATCAATTAGCAATAAAAAAAAACACATAAAAATTAGCATTTCATCTTAGGAAAAAGGCGCGGGCATTTGTTTAATATCTCGTAATTTGAATGTAGTCTAACTAGTTATTTTCCCCAGAAGATTCTCTATTCTGTTCTGTTCGGTTCTACTGTGTCGTTTACGTCCATTCAGTAAACATTGATTTTAAAATGCGTTATTGAAGTTATTACATTTTGCGTCAAAAGTTAATACATTTTGCGTCAAAAGTTAATACATTTTGCGTCAAAAGTTAATACATTTTGCGTTAAACAGAATTATTACATTTTGAGTCAAAAGTTATTACATTTTGCGTTAGAGCAGTTATTACATTTTGCGTCAAAAGTCATTATATTTTGCGTTGTTATTACATTTTGCGTCAAAAATTATTACATTTTGCGTTGTTATTACATTTTGCGCGAGTTATTACATTTTGTGGCGTAACATGCTCTCATAAAGCACGCGCTCCCAACTAATCAGTTCGCGAGATTTGGAGCAGCTATTTTATGATTTGGAATAAAAACAATTTGTAGCCTGGTTCATTACAGCCATCCTCAATCACACGCGCCGCTTTAGAGATTGTTTCTGTCGCGACGAACAAGCTTTTGATGGACGTCAATCAAGACGTTTCAATGACATTCTATAGGCACGCGCCCTTATAGCTTCGTGTTTTCGGACCATGTTATGGAAACGCCTTGTGATTGATGTCCACCAAAACCTTCTTCGTCGCGACAGGAACAAGCGCTAGAGGGCGCCTGTGATTCAGAATGTATGCTGTAAAAAAGACAAATCATAAATGATGACCAACTATTTGTTAAAAAGCCAATCAAAAACAAAACTTCTCAATGTGCTATATTTGTAAGAGCACAGTAATAAGTATTGTGCGAAGTTTTAAAATGTTCTACTTACTCGATAAACCCTCTTCCTTTCATCCTGGCAAAAGGCCCCAACATTTGACACAAACTTCAAGCAACATTTCCCCCAACATTTTAACACTTATCTAACAATTTTGGTTAACATTTTGACACACACATGAAAAACGGTCCCGACATTTTAACCAACACATGTTAGCTAAGGAGCATGGCAAACGAGCCCAACGTATTTGACTCAAAAATTCAGCCAACATTTGTTGGGCCAAATTTTTTAATATCAATTTAGAACAGGTTTCGATCCTATGATGTGCTGCAGCATGGAATACTCTGTTTTCATCTTCCAAATAAACTTGCTTGAAGTTGAGCAAATTCTCTACAAAGAAAAACAATAAAACCTTTTTTTACAAATAACGTTTTCAGGTCTTTAAAGTTTTATCTTGACTCTAAAATTATAACTCACACACATGCGAAAAAAAAATTGCTAAAACCATAAATTGATGTCAAACGCTGAAACAAAAACCATTATCCCTAATGCCAAAAAGTAAGAGAATTAATAGGCATATTGGTATATTGTTTACCATAAACAAAGTTTGGTTACCTACGACATAGCTTTCTTACTCGAGACCGAGATATTGTCTACAACAAGTGGAATTAAAAGTTCAGGTTAGGTTCCAGATCTTTAATAGTGCAAGAGTATGGCGCAAACATTGTGCAGAATATTTCAGTATTTGGATACAAAAATGAAAATTGGAAAAACGAAAGAACACAACTTGACTAATTTTTGATGTACCGCAACGCCCAAAAATGATTACTTCCAGTTTTATAGCAGTAAAATTAATTTTCTCTTAAGTCTGTTATTAATAATTCTTAGGTTTGTACGCGAATGTTTTCCATCTGGATATTAATTGACCAATCATAGGTCAGTAAATCTATACAATATATCTAGGATTCACGAGGAATGTCATTAAACCATTATAAGTATAACTAGCCTAAATACAACTAATTAGCTACCTAACTAAATTCCAATGTAATCAGTAATCAGCTATTAAAAGAAATAGAAGTGAATAATAAAGGAAGATCTCTGAGGCTTCCAAGAGCAGTCCTTTTAACAAGTGTACTCAAGAGATCATGAAGGACAGAGAGGGACAGCTTCCAGTACTACCTTAGGGGTATCGGAATTCCCGAAAAGTTATTGTTAGAGCGTGCATACTCTTTAGGAACATCTCTCCGCTTCCGGTGCACGGGCCGTTTGAAGCAATATCAAGACGACGGCCAATATAAAATTGTGACTGACATCTATTTAATATAAGAATGTAAGTTATTCTTATTATGATTATTAGTAACGTGTTATGCTATGGAGATGCTATTTTTATGGATATCCAAAGGAAAGTGGTCATTGTCGATAAACAAGACCCTTGTGGCAGGGTAGGTCGGGTTACCGGCACGGTTTCAGAGACTCTAACGGAGCTACTAATACACAGTAGATCAAATTCAAAACTCGCACCGATGTGAGGCTTAAGTTGTGAACGAATGGATCTGGCGTGACTCAAAGTAATCTGGCGTGACTCAAAAGTCACGAATCACGACAGATTCCTTTGTTCACAACTTAAGCCTCACATCGGTGCGAGTTTTGAATTTGGTCTATGAAACTGAGCAAAACGTTTATGCCATAGTTTCATAATAATCGGAAAAATCCAGTTCAGTTCCAGTAGTCCAGCAGTCCGTCAAACAGGAATCGGATTTCGCAAACGTAACTATGTAAATAGACAGTCTGTAGACCGGGTTACTTGGAAGACTAGTGGTTGCTGAGTTAGTTAAGATCCTAAAGACAAAGTGAAAATAAGTTGCTAGGTCTTGAAAGATGGTGGCACAGCGATTACTGCACAGTGAAAATCAATATGGATATAAAAGGTATGAGAAAATCAAGACCATACTATAAAAAATAAGGTCTGTCGGCAGGCACGGTCTGTAAGAAAGAGACCGGAATACGTATTGCTTCGTCAGAGCTAGAAAGGTAATCTTTGATCTAATCTAAAGACAGGATAATCTTTGTCTAGGATTTTTCTCAGAATGTCTTGATTCTTCATAGCTTCCTTCATAAATGTATATTCTGTACTTAATAAATATTTTCATTGAAGATTGAGGTAGATACGATCGATCTCAAGTGATGGTCAAGGATACATGCTTTTTGGAAATTTATTTTTATCTTTTTATTACTTTTACCGTCGTTTTTATTACTACGCGGCCAGCCCAGACACAAATCGAGTCGTGTAGTTTGCAATAGACTACTGTCAATCATTCATGTTGACGCCATTTATACACGTTTGGATCAGTGAGTTAGTTTTTCTATCAAACTTTCTCAGTCAGATATTACGAAGGAAAGTTCCGAAAGCGATTGCAAAGAGTTTGAGTACATCCAAGTAGAATGAGGTGTTTGATTGACGGCAGGCTATTGCAAACTACACGACGCGATTTGTGTCTGGTGTGGCCGCGTAGTAATGCAAACGGCGGTAATAATAAAAACAAAACTCAAATAAACTTGTATCTGGTATTTTTTTGTAGTAGCTTTCAGAGCCAAAATACCTTTTAAAATATAGCATCAAGTGATCAAAATCGGGTCAGCTTGCACAATAATTTAAACGTCGAAGCCACTGATCAGGCGTGTAGTTCTTTTTAAAACACGACTAGTTTATGCCTTAGCACTGATCTTCGATTACTGAAAATTCTGCTTTGATTAGCTGAATCAGAGTATGAATCAAAGCTGAATCAAAGCAAAATAATCCAATGGCCATGAATTTGAAAATCCTTAGAAACCCCTAGAAATTATCGCTTCCAAGTCGTCATCACCTCTCGCTAGAATTTCTTTGTTTACGATTTGTGTAAATTTATATATCTAGTTTGGATGTCTTTAAGTATCACAGGTAAACCGGTAACAAAGGTGTTTTATGACCGGTATACCACAGGTAACCCGCTAATGAAACTAGCGACCATCGAATTACGCTCTTCGATTTATGCGCTTCGACTTACGCGCTTTTCGAGTTACGTGCTCGACCACCCCAAATTTGACGTTGTCACGCAGTGCGCGCAACTCGATGTCATTAAAGAAAGTTGTGCAAGTTCGAGTTACGCGATAGGCGCGTAACTCGACAGCAGGAAGAGATCTTTCGTAGTTCAAGTTACGCTCTAATGAATAAATACTACTCAAACTGGAAATTTGGCTAAAAGATTTTGCTTCAAACTTATGACAAAAGCCTGCAAACCCTATCAAACTATTTAAGCAAATATTCTAGCTGTTGACGAAAATGTCATATCTTCTGGTGATCAAAATATCAACTCCCATTTAGTTAGGGCTTTGGAGCAACTACAGAATACCACGTAAGATATTCGTCTTTTGATAACGACAAATACATACAATAGAAATACACTTATAGGATGAATATCAATGGCGTGGTATTCGATAGCTGTACCAAGGCTTTATATCTTTTAAAATGTCATACCATAAAATTTTTGTTGGCAATCGATATTTTATTTACATTTCATTCTCCTCCTACCGCTGGAACTACAATGATGCTTTCCTCGTTTTCGAAGCGCGTAACTCGATGAATACCCGTCCTCAACAAGGGGCCATTTTGCATGACCATGCGAGAACTGCTGTGCCGTGAGAATGCAGGCACAACACAGGGTACCCACGCATTTAGCTTGCAGCAAGTTATCTCGATGTTCGATTTATTTATTTCTCTATCTTATAATTTTCACAGTTATTTAATTTGAAACTGTAGAAGGGAAAAATATAATCAAGGGAAAATGTTAGGGAAATACATTCGAGGAACTTATTTGTTAAACCTTCTGTAAATAACAAACGTAAGGAAACCTCTTTATTTAATGACTTGTCAATAGACAACCTGTTATTGGTAAGTAAGTCATTCATAATGACTTGTCTATGAACTCCAGGGTCAAGGATGTTTGTTTATTGACATTGAAAATTGAGAAGTACTTGTTGTAGTAAACAACAGATGCAAATCTACTGTACTTTTCCGGTAAAAACAGGTTTTGGTCATGTACAACTTTTTACATGCGTACTGGAAAAGAGCAGGGTTGTTTGCTGTACAAACAATTATTTCTTAAGCCTTTTTCTGTTCTCTTGTTTAGAATCATCTTATGTGAAATTTTGAAATATCTTTAGGGCAATCTGTTCTGAATTAGTTGAGCTACAAATAACTAAACTAAGAGCATACGGATTTGGAGTCTCTGCAAGTAAATTGTTTGATTCGTATTTAAGCAATCATAGTCAAAAATGTCTGGTAAACAGACATCTCTCGGATAGCCGTTCATTAACTTGTGCAATTCCCCAGGGGAAAATTCTAGGGCCCCTGTTATTTCTCATTTACATAAAGTAGCCTGCCAAATTGTCTTAAATATTGCAAGCCACGTATGTACGCCGATGACACCCACTTAACGTTTGCAAGTAATAATATCAAAGATGTAAATTACTTTCTAGACCGAGACCTCAGAACGTTACTGAATGGCTCGTTACGAACAAACTAACTCTTAATCAATCCAAGACAGAATTTATGTTGATTGGATCCCGTCAAGGAATAGCATCGTTTGGTTCACTTTCATCGTTATCAATTGACGGGGTCCCCGTAAAACAGGTTTTGTACACAAAATCTCTCGGTGTGCAAATTGACCAAAATATGTCTTGGAATGAACACATCGACATATTATCCAAAAAGATTGCGTCCGGCATCGGAGCCCTGAAGCGTATAAGGCCCTTCGTCCCAACTTCAACTTTACAGTTTATCTATAGTTTTTTAATCCAGCCACATTTTGATTACTGTTGTGTTGTGTGGGATAACTGTAACAAAACCCTCACTGACAAACTTCAGAAACTGCAAAATCGTGCAGCGAGGGTTTTGACATTCTCTAGTTATGACGCTAGTGCCGACCCTCTTTTTCGGAAACTTGGATGGAAAAAACTAGAAGTCCAACGAAAAATACAAAAAGCGGTTATGGTCACTGCATGGTCTCACACCAGCATATCTGAGTTCTATTTGTATCGATCGTAGCAGCATAACAAATTATTCCTTGTAGAAAAAGGCGAAAATGTGAATTTTCGAGGTTTACAACGACAATTAGTAAAAAAAACATTTATTCAATGAGTTTTTAAGATTTGATGCTGATTTTTTCGTAAGGCTCATCTGCAATACTATTAAATAGGTATGTGAAAACTTCAAGGCAATCCATTCAATGGTAATGTTTCTAAAGCGCGATGTTTCATCTGCTTGATTTTGTTTGATTTTCGGCCGTAATAGGCTAAACGTTAAAAAATTTTTAAAATAAAATACACTGTTAGAATCTAGGATATAATTAAATTGACGCAATAGTTTTGCGAAGGGAGCGAGAAGAAAATTGTCCAAAATTCGCTCTGAATAGACCAGTTTCGAATTCCAAATTACCGTTGTGTTCCTTGATTACAGACTCATTCGCACAGGGTTAGCCTCGTATCAGTGTTTAGATACTCACAAATACCAACAGAAAAGTAAAGAATGCACAACTTCAACAATACAAAGATTTTGAAACTCGACGAACCTTGACGGGAACACGTGAATATTCTGCACAAACTCGAGGCTACCCTGTGCAAATGAGTCTGTAATCAAGAAACACAGCGGTAGTTTGGAATTCGAAAGGGGTCTATTAGTTTGGTTCCACCTTAAGACGCCGGCCATTTTGTTTTGCCACTTGCAACTTCTTGTTGAATTTTCCGCTATTTTCTAAGTCGTCTGTGATTGGCTAATTTCAGTTTCCATTGTTACTCAGGCAATCATCATCGAGAAACACCTGCACTGATTTCCTTTTTTCAGCACTGATTTCCTTTTTTCTGCACTGTATTTCCTTAAAACAGCACTGCTCTTAGCCAATCAGGATTGAGAAATTTTTTCATATATGTTATTACAAGGAGAAAAACACCGAAAAGCATGAATTATGAATATATGTCATTGTAGGCGATTTATACACATGATATCGTAATACAATAAGAATAGCATAACACTCAACTTTATAGCAAAGCTGGCATCAAATAGTCTTATTCCTTCAGTTAAACCAATACCTAAGTTTTTCACAACAGTCGTCATTTTTGAGGTAGCTCGCATGGCTCATTGTAATCATGTTTTGCGAAGACTTTCTAAGTTGATATTCACTTGATACATATTCGATGTCAGGCTTAATGTCTGAGCCTATATCGAATCGTTTCAGAAGACGAATGAGCAGATCTTTGAGCATATTTATCAGAGTATCGCCACATGATCGAAACTCTAAAGCCCCGTTTACACTAGCGATTTTTGCGGCGATTTTTGCTGCGATTTTTGCTGCGATTTTTGTGGCAATTTTCGGAAATATGAAATCTTTTGTCTCAGTCTTCAAAAGAGACGTTCATCTAGGAAAATCTTGTTATCCTGAAAAAAACTTTACAGGTTAATTCTTTAACATTATTTATTATGAACAATATCACAAAAAAATCGCAGCAAAATTCGCCGCAAAAATCGCTAGTGTAAACGGGGCTTAATACAGTACACATAAGCTCAGATATGGCGCGCATGCGCAGCAAAATGGCCCCTTGTTCCCGTCCTCGACTTATAAAACTATATTTTGGTAAGGATAAAACGAACGGGCCCCTTAGGGCCCTTTTATTTTTTTACTTAAAAATTACTATCTATAAAATGTAACTGAGCAAAATAAATGAAGGATTCGAACTTTGCTCGCTGTAGGTTGCTACTATATTCAGTGTTTGACGAACAACAACAACAACAACAACAACAACAACAAAATTAAACACATACTAGACAGAGTGGACAAATTTTAGGTACTAAAATGCATTATCTGCTCCAGTCTTGAGAATCCATCCAGGCGTAGTTAATGTATCCAATATTTTCGCAACAAACGAAATAAATCGCACTCTTGGAAAATAATAAAGTCCTTCAAAAACTCATGAATAATTCATAAGCCTTTGGTCCAATTGGAGCCACCATACACGTCACGTGCATGGACCTTGATACCCGATAAAGTCCTCGCCATTAGTATTCTTTATATGAAGAATACTGATGAGGACGATTTGGTCCAATTGGAGCCACCACACACGTCACGTGCATGGTCCTTTATATCCGATAAAGTCCTCTTCATTAGTATTCTTTATATAAAGAATACTAATAAGGACGACTTTATCATCGATAAAGTATCTCCAAATTTAGATGAAGACTTAGAGCCTCATCAAGGTCTGTCTCAGATACGATCACCGACGACCCACGAAATCTAATTGACTAGCAATCCTGTCTTGAGACTAACATGCATAAAAAATTCTTTTAAATTATTGAAAAAGAATCGCAGAAAAGTCCAAGTAGTAGAAGAACAAAAGAGCATTCGCGCTTGGTAAAAAGGTTTGTAAAAGGTAAAGTAAAATAAAGGAAAACTATGAAAACGTGGTCAAGTTTGCCGTTTGCGGGGTGAAAAAAAGTCAATCTAAAACTCTCTAATAGTGCGAGAGTCCCTCTCTGTCCTTCATCGTCTCTTGGTGTACCTAATATCTACAGGATGCTTTTGAAAGCCTTTATAAAGTAAATAATAATGGCGTTTACTGCTCTTTGATATCTCTTTACGTTGTAAATGAAACACCGGTAAATAAAAATTTTCTTTTAGAAAATGTTCACTAATTTCAAAATATCGATTAACAAAAGGAAATTGCATAAGAAAAGAACTATGAGATTTAAAAGTTTGCCCAAAATGGCATTCATTGTATATTGTCTTTCGAAACTTTGCAACTTACTTCCACTTCCCGGTCTACCCTGACACCTGGGTTTTGTTTATTTAAATAATGGCTTCTCTTCCGAATCTGTATTGCACAAAAGTTCGCTGTCAGCGTATTCCTCGATCGAAACGTTTTTAAGCCTATAYCTACAAGATTTTCTTTGCTTTGTGAAAAATTGAACAACAATCCCGCCATCTTTTTTCAAATTGGTCTATTTTAATCTTGGATTAGCGACTTAAACCACCTCGCTAGTTGTGTTAAATTTAACCCACAATTTAATCCTAGATTCCCATATCTGGTTATTATCTGAGAGGCCGACCGACCCTTGGAGTGAAGGTGCTGTCTGCTGGCTGCTATATTTTGGAATTTTAAAGTTGAATTACCTCATTACTGAAATTTTGAGGAAGTTATCTTGGATAGTTGTTCTTCAAAAGAGTGTCTCCGATTTTTGATTTTTTGCTTATTTCCAAAGTTATCGTGGATTTTGGCTTGCATGCCGGCGATATAGCAGCGTCATAACTAATCAAACATCGGAGACACACTTTTGACAAGTGATGTCTCGTGATCTCGGAAAGGTAATAAGCATTGGTGTCCGATCATTACCGGCTGTCATCGAACTCCGCAAAGATGTCACGGTGAAAATTTGAATAATTCGCTCTAACTTAAAAGGATAAATGTATTTTACAAAAAGGAAAAAGGAATAGTAATAGAAAATGTATACTTTGTTGAGGTTTCGATTAAAAGGTTTTGTGCTATTAAGAGTTGAATGCATAATGGTCGCTAGGGGTACCCTGATACCTTAATCGTATCAGTATTTTTATTTTCAACTTTCAATTTTATCTAAATTGGACTCTAATGTGCCTATCGGGAGCTGCTCTTTTAGGAAGTGCCTAAATTTATATATCAAAAATTATAAGGTCCCCCTTCCGTTTATAATATTTGGTAGAATTGGCAATTTGAAGCGGGATTTACTTTACCGAGCAAGTCTGCTAGCCATCTTTTTTACGGTAATCTTGATATTATCCATTTCAAATCCTTATAGTTCAGAAGAATTGGCAAATTAATTGCAGACAATCGTAGAAGTTTACAACATAGTAATGTCATTGGCTCACGAGAGTGGTGGAGCAATGTTGACAGATAACGCTTAAGATATATATCCTGATATTTCATCAATATCTATGTAATAAGACATACACTGTAATTAAGTACGATTGAGTTTTTAAATTTCGAAAATATTAATTTTAGCGGTTTAAATGTAAAAATGTTATATGTCACTCGCAATGCATGATGGGATAATTCTGGATCCTACTCTGTTCACATTGTTTGCGCTTCATATGCTGAAATCACAACGGCCACCCTACATTTAATTTTTTTTGAGTGCACTATGATATTTTTTGAACTTACTTTCTTAAGGAGACTGCTTTGTGTTTTAACTCTTTGTTGTTATTTTGAATTCTTCTTACTTCTTCCCAAAAGAAATCTCCGTTTCTATGAGATTTTTGCCACTTAAGGAAAAGTCCCGACCACAAGCTCTAATTAACAGAAGAAAAAAAAAAGACAAATAAGCAAATATAAGATAGACAAAATACATACATAAAGAAACAGAAAAAGTCTATTGTTTTCGAGCGCAAATTAAAGGGAAACAATAGTCATATGATATCTCACGAGTGAGCGCAGCGAATGAGTAAAATGTCTAAAATGAACACGAGAAGATAAAATTCGTATCTCCAAGCGCCCATGTAATGTTCTGTTTATTATATGGATATCGATGAAACTTAAATAAAACAAAAGCTCAAAAATTCTTTATTAAAATACGTTCCTATCTCAACAGCGATATCTTCACGTGTGAAAGATATCAAGTTTTCGACACTAGAGAAAACCTGGTATTTTATCGATATCTATATAATAAAGGAGAAAATGTTTTTGATGCAAAACATTTTCCAGGCCCCTACCTAATAGTACTCATGTTTTTCGGTACCCCCTTCCATCGTTTAAAAAATCCTCCCAATCCTCCTTTTGACCTTTCAAGGCTCCCCATGTTCCACTAAAAAATGAGGGCCCCCATTTTCTCCTCTACCCCCTCCCCCTCCGACTTAAATAATGACTGTTCCCTTAGGTAGTAATTTTTTTGTCATTTTACAGATCACGTGTTTGGTCGTGTGTAAGCCCCACCCCCCCCCCC